CTTTGGCTCCGCACATGTCTTCTAAATAACTCCAGACTCCCAATTCGAGGACATACAAATCGTCAAAAACTTGCTGACCATCGTACCCACCATACACGAATACCCTGGAGTCGTATAATATGGAAGTGCAATAGCCACGCCCTGATGGAGGTATGCCTCGAGTTGGACGTGTTTCGAAAGTTTGAGTCGCTGTTCGTGAACATAAAGTGATAGCGTTGATATTAAGTGGGATCGAGGGCGGTGTTGATTGAAAGAGATGGAAGATGTTAAATCAAAATCATGCCGATCGATTACAACTGGAATCATACAGAAATCATTAAGTACATACCCAAATTAAACATCAGCATATCGGTTGAATATTTTGATCCATCGTGTCCACCAAAAATGAAAATATAAGGTCCTACTAATGCCGCCGTATGACTCAATCGGGGGACTGCCTTCGCCATCGTAGATATCGTAGACCAACTATTAGATTCTGATGAACATTTAATACATCGTTAAAAGAATTGTAAATTAATATTCATATGTGATGCAAGAAAGAGATAGAAGTACAGAGGAAAGTACGAGTTAATGAGAGCGCAGTAAATAACTACCTATATCTAAGACGTGCATGTCATGAAAACATTCATGGCCATCGCTGCCACCAAACAAGTACAGCTTTGAACCAACTAATGTTGTAGTATGATAGCCTCGAGCAATGGGTGGATTTCCTGAAGCGTTTATTCTTGTCCATGTGTATGAATTTGGGTCTGTACAGCGGTATCGTAAGTGTGTTTCGTAGATGGCAATTGCATAGACAAAGCATGAATTAGGAATCGGATGAAATGACTGAAATAATAAAAACAATGAGAAAATAAGACAGTTCATATACCTGTGTCAAAAACGTAAACATCTCCTAAGGCTTTCACGCCGTCCCCACCGAATATGATGTATATCTTATTGTTATATGTACAGCTAGAGTGTGCTCGGCGGTGACACGGTATGTCGCCTTTGCATTCAGGTTTCTTCCAGATGAATGTTTCTGAGGTTGTCTGAATTAGTATCAAGCCCACGTAACAGCGGATAGGCAAACAATTGCTGCAGCAATCATACCTGTATCTAGAATGTATATTTGATTGAAATATGTAGGTCCGTTACCCCCACCGAAAATGAATAGTCGTTTGTCCACCACGCTGGATGTGTGCGCTCGTACTGGAGGGGGAAGCTCTCCTGATGTTTTTGGTGCTTTCCATGTCATCGTATCTGGAAATTGACGAGGAATAATAAGGACAACAAAGAATATATTGTTAATGTTAGAATAAAAATTTGCTATCTTTCTTAAAAATGTTCGTATCCTCTGGAATAATGGTGTAATGACTCAACTTCTCCTGCTTAAAAGAGAATTGGCGTCTTGACTACTCACAAGGGTCCAGCAGGAACACGTCGTTTGTACAGTCCGATAAATCTGATCCACCAAATATCAGTATTTTATCACCCACAATATTCATTGTATGTGCTCTTAACGGTTTCGGTTTCCTCTTGCCGTATGTCGTCACCTTTTTCCAGTACATCGCGGATGCTGGAACTAATTTTGTGGAACGTGCATTGGACGACGTGCTGGATTGTGAAGTAACAGTTTCGGGCTGGCCTACACTACACAAGGCGATTGAACTTCCTTGAGTATCATTTTTTACTGGTGATATCAGCCGTCGACTAGACAGAGTGGAGATTTGAGTTGACTTTGTCGAAGGGCTTCTGTCGAGTCTATTCTTTTCCGGGGAAAAAGGCGAAGTCGGGGAGGAGGCAGGAGACGAGAAAGTTGACTTTTTGAATGTGTTTATGTGGGACGGCGAGGAGTCCATCTCTAATGTATGTCAGTTATGCAAATGGGTTGCGAAAGATGAAAATAAAAATGCAGCTGTTGCTTCATTCCTCGGGACACATTTCATTCCCCTGTCAGTTGTCCTCGAATTAAGAAGAGAACGCACTTGGGCCCGAATCACGTGTCTCTTAGCTTAAATCACGTGAGTTATCCTCTTGTCACGTGACTCAAGCTTTTGTTGATTTTGTCAAGTGTTCTCATTCCCTTCCGTTCCGCATCAAATTCTAGTCATTCATCTCTCCGCAGAGACTATGGCTGACTCTCGTCATTCCTCTGACAGGAATCAGCGGCGCGGGTCATCGTCTCTGCCCTCGCAGAATCATCCTCAAGAAATCGTCGACAAGTCTGATTCCAGGAGCCCAACTGCATCCTCCAAATCTTCTCTTCCTTTAAGCCCCCGTCAAACAATCCCACGATCCGCCAAATCACCAGACAGAGATTCTTCTCATAGGGATCGATTCTCCCGGAGAAGTAGCTCGGGTTCATATTCCCACCGTTCTGCTGCTGACACCTACATCGCTCCGGGCCATAAAGCCAGCTCATCACGACACTCAGACCGAGATCCTTCTTCGACAGTATCTGGGGTAAATAACAAGGATCAAGATGCCGATAACCCATTGACTTCCATTTCTGGTGATGTAAAGAAATATGAGAATGATAAAATAAGAGACGACGATAGAAAGAGCGAGAAGAGCGAAGGTGAAGTAAGTGACCGAAGACGCAGCTATTCCGATCTTAGAGATTTTCGAGATTCGGGGCGTAGTTCGCGAGGGTCAGACAGAGATTACAGAGACCTTGATCGCGATCGAGAGAGGGATTATAGGAATGTAGACCGTGATAGGAACCGAGACTACTATGATCGTGACAGAGACAGAGACTACAGAAGCTTCGATAGTGGCTATCGCGATCGAAGGGATGGTCATTACGGCAGTTACGATGATTACGGTAGAAGTAGTATTCGAGATAGGAGTTACGACCGCACGAGGAGTCGAAGTCGTGAACGAAGACGAAGTCCCAGTTATGATCGAGGGAGGAATCGAAGTAGAGAGCGAGGAAGAAGTAGATATGACGAGTACGATCGAGATTGTTACAGGCGTAGGAGTCGAAGTAGAAGTTACGAGAGGGAGCGTGATAGACGAAGAGAATGGAGTCCGCGAGATTCAAGAAGTCCATACCAACCTCCTTCAAGAGACAGGGATAGAAGAAGAGACGACTATCAAAGGTCGAGAAGTAGGAGCCGTGACAGAAGGCGAAGTCCTTACCGAAGAAATTCAAGAGATCGAAGCAGAAGTGACGAAAGACGACCTGATAATTATCGACAGGACTATCGTTCCAGATCCAGGACACGAAGCCGAAGTCGAGATAGACCGAAAAGTCCATACGAAAGGGATTCAAGGATTCGAAGGCGAGACGAATATGAGAGATCAAGATCGAGGAGTCCGTACCGATCATCTGCCCGCGATGATTATGATAGATCGCATTATGGCCGGGAGGAGCCGAAGGAGCGAGCCTTCCGCGGTGATGACGATCTAAAACCTGCATCCCATACTGCCGAAGGTCATGTAAGGTCTGATCATAAAATTATCTCACCTAAACACGATTACAATACCAAAGCAGAAGACCGACTTCGTAATCAAATGGATGTTGATCAGAAGCCGCATCCCTCGATTGAATATAATCAAAACCGAATTCATCCATCTCCCGCATCTCCCTCCTTCGGCAATGAATCCAGCAAGCCGTACGAACCTCAACCCCGGCCACCATCCTTTCGGCCGTCGTACAGGCCTCAGACATCTGCTTATCGTCCTCCGGCGCCTTCTTATCGATATCGTCCATCCAGTTATACTCAGGGCAGGTCAGTTGGGGGACCGTTTCGACCGCTTGAATCAAGACCACCGCATCCCCACTCCGAAGTAGACCGACGAATTAGTGGTTCCCCCGAATTAACACAGTATCCTGCGGTTTCGAGGTCGTCGCAATCTCCTCCAATACCCCCATACTCAAATTCTGACTTGAGTGCTGATCTAAAATCACCCCTTATTTCACCTGGAAGGCAGCGGCCACGAGATTCTTTTGCGGAGGGTACTAACTCAGGCCCTCTTTCTTCCGCTGCTCCTACCTCTCACCAAAGACAGAGCTTTCAATCTCATCAAACTCATACATCTCATCTCTCGCACCCGTCTCAACCATCCGCCTCACAACAGTCCATCAACTCATCTTCATCCGCGTCATCTTCTATGTCTCAACGTCCAGTCCCTCCACATCACCATACTCACTCGCACGGTCATTCCCGACCGTCTTCGTTCTCACAATATCAATCACGTCCTCGTCCACAATTTAATCACGGTTACTATTCACAATTTCGACCGCCGAGCTCCGAAACGTCGGGAACACCAGGTTATGGGACTCAAAGTTCAACTTATAGACCCCGTCCGCCTTACTATCAGAATCAATTCCAGCCACCGCCCGCCAATTTACCACCACGATGCCCATGGGCCGCGGAATTGGAGAAAGAGGTAAGATAAATCTCTTTTCACAGTTAGATTCCGCCGTCTTTTATACCTAATTGGTCTTTTCCTTTTTGTTATTTTTTCCCGCTCTCAACCCATTACACTTTGTGGAACATCTAGTCCGCACAATTAGCTTCCGAGTCTCAGCGCTTAAAGCTTCTTGAGTTAGAACAGATTCGTGATCTCAAAAAAATCCAATTCGAAGTTAATAGTGTCACATTAGAAGTTGAAAAATTAGATATGATTGTCGCGTTTTATGATCGGCTAAGTGGTTCCGCACCTGGTTCTAATGTGGGAGGAAATGTGATCGGAAGCCGGGGAAGCGGCAGTGGGGGAGAAAGCATAAAGAATTTTGAAGCGATGCAGGTATGATTAGAATGGTGAACGCTCGATGGAATGATATCGGGTTGTAAATTATATCTCGGTAATTGTACCTTCGGAGCTCGTTTGTGCAATTATCTGGCATGCGTTGTGCCATGTTCGGCCACTACAACAATAATATCAATAAACCTGCAAGATACCCATTTCAGTTGTTAGACCAAGCCTTGCTCAATACCGTCTGTGTTGGCGCATTACGAAATATTGGGTAATTGATAAATGGTTTACCATTACACCACATAATGTCACGTGCAAAGTTGGTTTAGTGGTATAATTGCCGCCTGCCAAGTTAATGAACTTAGATCGCGGCAGACCCGGGTTCGATTCCCGGACTTTGCATATATATACCTCCTACGACGGAGGGTTGGTTTCTTTTGACAGTCTATCCTGGAGAAGGGAGTAAGAATTTGTATTGAGAAAATCTCACATTGCTCGGATATTTTTGATGTGACAATCAGGCAATATATTCATTATTACAAACTGATGGTAGTATTAAATATATTCACAACATATCATGTATACAGTCATTTACATTGAAATCCTTCATATCAGCACCAGACTGAGTTAGTATAAACCGTGCTCCAGGCACGCGAAACTCCATTAGAGCTATGACACGAAGTTACGTTTCCGACATAAAATAGTTATATCACATGAATTAGGCCGAAAACTGGCGAGTTGCAAAATTTCAAATTTAAAACTGGGTGTCGTGATCCCCTCGACTACCGGTTAAGGAAACATCACGCTATATACATTCATCTTGAAGTCTCATCAACTTAACACTTTTATCGTCATTCTTGTGCTACTAAAATACTAAAAATACCTAAGAGACTACTAAAGAATTCAGAGTTGCTAAAAGACTAATTATGCTACAAGATATTGGTGACGAAAACTAATATTTACATCATGCTAATTACTAAGGAACACAAAAGGCTGAGATCACAATCACATCACGTCTTTAACTTCCTTTCGGTAAAGTTCATCTTAACTAAATTGACATTGACGTGAATCCTTACACTGGTTGCGCATTTATCTCGGTCACTGTGGTGATGTATTAACATTCCCTTCTTGATTTTGAGGTGGGGTTTCCTGACCTGCAGGTGGTGGAGACACTTCCTTATTTGGAGCGGGAGCTTCCTTACCTGCAGCTGGAGGTGCATCCCCGCCTGTTGGAGGTCCTTCCTGGCCTGGAGGAGGAGGAGCCGGTGAATTGAGTAGATTTCTGAAGGAAACCAACGCATTTGGTGTGCCACGGAGGTTCTTGGCATCGCTTAACTTGGCAGCATTGTTAATGAGTGTGTCTCGTACTTGATCAGCAGGTACGCCCTGGGACATCATTACAGCTATTACGCCTAGATTAATTCATGTCAGTATCATCTCTTGGGATGTTCTACAGAAGAATGACGGAAATATTAAAGGTTTGATGATTTGTACCTGCAACGAGGGGACTAGCCATGGATGTCCCGTCTTCGGGCAAGAGTTTTTGCGGATCTTTACTAGAGGCAGATATAATTTTCACACCCCTACGAAGTAAATTAAATGTTAAGTTGAATCTAGTTGATATCTGAGATTTTGGCGTAAGATGAAACATACGGAGCAAAAATATCGACACATTTACCGAAATTTGAAAATTTTGCCATCTTGTTGGATTTGTCGGACGCTGCAACTGTGATGGCGGACTTCACTCGACCAGGTGAAGATTTGCACTTTGCACGCATCCTCCTTTTCGTTTCCCGCTGCTATAACAACGGGAATATTGGCTTTCACTGCCGCTTCAACTGCCGCATCTACGTTTCAATCAATAAGTTGATTCTATGTTTGAAGGCGAAAATAAAAGCATTCACTCACCCAATGCCTTCATTGGTGGAAAGCCAAGAGAAAGATTAATAACTGACGGTTTTTGCGTTTTTGCAGCATTTTGTATCACCATTTCAATCCCTTGAATAATTGCGGACGGTTCAAGTCCTTTCTCATCACTAATAATCAGAAGGAAGAAAAACAAATTAAGATATTGAATTATGAATCAATGATAATTAGGAGGTTATATATTGAGACAAGGTCTTTATGGAGTCAGCAATGCATACCCAATCCGGACTCCGATAACACTCGCTTTCTGGGCGACACCAATTTTGGACCCACCGGCAGTACCTATATAAATGAATTGTTATGAAGACTATTCTTTTGCATTTAGTGTGCACCAAATTTCGTACCTGCGACGTGAGTGCGTGTCAAGGGTTGCAAATCAAGAACCGCGCATACGAACAATTGAAGTTAACACGATTTTCGTTCTGAGCGACCACCAAAAACAGATCTTACCATGACCTTCCGTGTCACCATTTACCTGTGGTATACGATTAACTAGTTCCGCAAGGACAGTCGCACGTCCCTCAAAGGCACTATGCTCGGCGTAGAGACCAGAATCCAACTTTTGACGATTGTTAACATCAATTTGGGTGCGAAATTTGGTGGAAAGAATACTTACTATATAGATATCGGTGTTTGCACCGGCATTATCGGGGAAGTTGAATACTCCATCCAAACCGCCGTCCAACATATCCAAATTGTAGAAGTCACCTTGGTCAACTGGTATTGAACCAGTCCATTTTCCTGTCACACTCTCTTCTACCCATAAAACAACCCGTTCTGAAGGCTAGAAATTGCATCCTGGTTGAGAAATAAACAAGTAGCTTTGAATTGTCCAATATTAACTTGAATTGGTTGTTTCTCTTCGGAGAGAGATTTGAACCTGTCGCTCCCAAAAAAATTGACAGAACTCCCATATATCTCATGAAATATATTCTTCCTTTATGATATCCACTTTCGACGATGATTAAAAAGTTTACTTCACATAATTGCGCAAGCGTATCCTAAGTTTTGAATCAAGCAGACAAATGGGCCAGGGCGGTGACATGCAGTGCTGTCCCGGCCGATATAAAAACTGCTCTATAAAAGGATTCAGAATGAATTATGATATAATAGAACGATGTGCTTTATTGTATGTATTTACAAGTGGAGCCGTACTCTGGGAAACGTAGCGTTGCTTAGATTAAATTAAGCAATCAATCTCATCCATTATTTTGTATTCAAGCCTTGTAAGGAAACCTATTGTCTGCCTTTTTAAAAAGATTTCTTGCGCGCCGATCCTTTTGCTACTTTTTGTTAACATACCTCGACAGAAAGTTCTGCTGCCGTGTTGAAAAACTTTTTCAACGAAAGCAATACGTTTTGGAATGTCACGGAGACTTTTTTCACCAACTTGCGAATGTTCATAACGAGAGTACTTCGCACATACTCAGCCCTGGGGAGGAAAAAAATGATCCAGTACTGTTGAGATAAATCCTTATTTTATCGAAATACCCTAGTCTCACTGCTTGTCGGTGTAAAGCCATTTGCTAAGTTAACGTACTAATTGATCGAGGGCCACCGTGACAGCATCCCGCACGCTTCAAGCAATTGGATGTCGGTCTTCGTTGAAATAAACTGATCCTGTGTCGGAATTTCCTATGCAAGCGTTAGGAATATAATCGTAATTAAGGGATATATGGAGAATTCAATATCTCCGCAAATCCCTATATTGCATCTCCTTGTTGGAGCCACTATTGTCGAAGTGGGATTGTTTGAGATACCCAAAGGCCATACGTTAGTAGCTCATCTGACATCTGTGTCTATTTGCCGATCCTTCATCGTCATAATTCTCATGTCATCGATCCTCACACCGTGGAGTGTGGACCGTGGGACCGTGGTGCATGTCTGTGACTTGGCAGTTGGCACTTGGCGTCACCATTCTCACAACGACCAACCCACAACTTTAATTTCTCCTTTCAACGAAAACATACAAAATCAGCAGGTATCTCATAACGAAGTTTCGGCAGCTTCTATTTCGGAAGTTTCAAATGAGTTTTCTGAATTTATCGAGACAAATGGACAATCAGGCTGACGGTGTACTTGAAAAGCTACGTCGTCTTGGCCTTTGTCCGCCCCTCTCTCCACTCCACATCACACTTAACTCTTGCTGGTTTTTTTCACTCATATTGCCAACACATGCGCACAAGAACTGACCGGAGGAACGCTGACTCCTTGGTGTGGGTAGTTTGCATACATCTAGCTTCTGTGAGTTTGGAAAAGTTGCCACCAGAACAATATCCGCAGAATCCCATATATTAGACATTTGTATTTTCTTTTATGAGTTGTATACATTCTTACAGCCAAAAAAAACAGTTCTACAAGGTTGAACAAACAGTACAAGGGAAATCAAAGACAAAGTAACTTTCTCGGATATCATCTATTTTTATAGGAAAGTAGTTTCTCAATGTGAAATAAAAATAAAAAAACTGAAAGAATCACAAAAAAAACCGGAACAAAATTTGGTACAACTACAGAAGTTTTTTTTACAACGAAATCTCAAATCGAGTTATCCTCTTCCCCTTTGATATCTTTGAATATATCCGCCCGCTTCCAAAAAGCAAAAAATGCAAACAGAAGGTTCAGTTATCTGATAAACAAAATAAATATCGCCAATGTAAACGAATAAAAAGGTCGGTAGAAAGATAACATGAAAAATCCGACTATACAATGGTGAAATGTGGATGTGGAACATCGCAATAGTTGCAAGGATCGACGGTTATGTGGCACTGAATCAAAACAGATCAAGCAACGCAACCTGTTATAACAACTCAACTTCTTCAAGCACGTTTTTCCGTTCCGTTGACGTTCGTTGTAACTCCAAACATTTGCCAATAACTACTCTTTTGATAATTTTGCCAAGTGCCCTTGACGGAGCCATTGCTTCCAGCTATAGGGTGTTGTAATGTCGGCTGCTGATTCTGATATCCAGAGTAGCCATGGTTCATATTTGGACTGGGTGGATGGGAAGGGGGTTGGAGATGCTGAGGGTAGGATTGGTAGAACTTTGATGAAGCGAACGCTTTGTGGTCGCGATGATGAACATAGCCGTAGAGAGGATCAGCTAAAGGATCTTGAATAGGAGTTAACGGTGGTGTCGTAATCCCAAACCCTGTGAGAGGCCCAGTTTGTGAGTGGGCCTGAGGTGGACGGAGTTGAGCAAAAGAGGGCGAAGTGGTAGGGGTGGCGAGAGAATTGGAGAGATGAGGAGATGTTTGGTCGTGATACATTCCATTGGAATTTGAATGATGTAGATTCGGGGAAGGGAGAGCGTGGAAAGTCATCGAGTCAGTCGTAGATGAAGAATCGGTGACCTCGATATCATCCATCATAATCATGACTTCCTCTTCATTCGCATCATTAACTTGGCATCGAACATTCCCGTCAGTAAGGGAATCAACCATATCAATATCCACTTCCTCGTCTCTTTCGGCTAAAGT